AGCTGATACCAAGGGCTCAAGTAGAAAGAAAATGTTTTGAAAATGATGATGGCATCAAACGTACAAATGTGCTTGACACAATGGATGGATGGAGGGATTGCAATAAGAATTGTATGAGCCCTCAATAAGATGATTTTTTTAAAATCTAAAAAATAAAATAACCCTCCTCCCAGTAAAGCCATCCTGATTGATCTTCTAGTGACTTGCCTCCCCAGCTCTACAAGAGAGATTTAAGTTTTCCCTCCTTAGGCCTCCCTTCCCCGTGAATGTTCAGTTGATGACATCATCTTTGTTAAAAAAGAAGAGCCAGACCTGCATGGGGAGCCACCACTCACAAGACTGTAACTGTGCAGCAATTACTCTGGGGCTCACTTCCCTCAGCTATAAGGGGCAGGGGTCGGGCTGGGGCTGGGGGGCTGGGTAGGACAGAGATTCTCAATGTGGCCTACAGGGTGAGTCTTCAGGGCTCTCTGGGAAGTAGGATCCAAAAGGAAGGTGGCTGCTTCAGCTCTTATGGGAAAATGATGAGGTACAATTTTAAAGCGGTTATCTCTAAGTTCCTCTGTGACTTGATTATTAGCATTAAGTGAATTCCCAAGGGTTACTAAAATTTGGTGTGATTTCTCCCCCCACCCACCACCCTCGAGCCCCAACCTGCTTAATCCCTTAGTCCCTTCTTGGTTAATGAGCTTGGCTTGGCTGCTGACCAAAAGGTTGGAGGGAAGTCCACCCAGAAGTGCCTCAGAAGCAAGGCCTGGCAATCTACCTCCCGGACAGCCCTCTGGAGCACGGTTCCATTCTGACCCATAGGGGGTTGCCAACAGTCATATTTGGCTTGATGGCTACTTATGTAGGTACAGCCTTTTATGAACTCTCCCTGGGAAGTGGGAACAGCTTGGAAAGGTGGGCTGTGGTCCAAGAATTTCACAAACCACTGAACGTCATTCTTAAAGCTCCCTTCTGGGTCTAAATTTTTGATTGCCAAAATTGAGACAGGCTCCCGCGTGAGGTCCCTCAGCTTCCTCCCTTATACCTGAATCCCCCTCCTCGTTGGAATGACTTCCTCTCTGTGTGTGGAGGCCAGGCTGCCTTTTCCTCTCTTTCCCCCAGCCAGTACTTTCACTGTGGGCCTGATGTCACTCCAGCTGACTCCACCCACTCCAGGGAGCACCTAATGCTTCCCTTGTTCACTTTCTATTGTCCTTGGCTCTTGGTATCCAAAGAGATTTCAGGTTCTCTGACTTCAACAACAACACCCCGCCCCCCATAAAACAGCTTTCCTTAACCACTCCTGCCCCACCCCTCCCGGGCCACCTCCTCTTGTCCTCAGACTTGGAGCCGTCTGCCCCAGTGACTCACTTTGAAAATGACGCCATCTGCTCAAATCCTGGGAGTTTTATTTGTGGCTTATAATGCTTTGTTTCACTGGTTCTTCTAAATGAGCTCTGGACATTAGGAGAACCCACTCTCCCCAGAACCTTCCTCAGCTTAGTAGATGTCTTTATCACCCACGTCTTTGGGTGATGTCCTCGTCCTGGGCCCTGCCTATTTTGAGGGCCTCGCTGACCTAGGATTTCTACGATGGCATCTTGGGAGGAGTTTTCTCATTTCATTTTGCCTATTGCTACTCAAACTCAAGCAGTGGTGACTCCTCCACGGACCCTGTCTCTGAGGCCCCTCAAAAGTAAGGAACCCCATGGCCCAATACTGAGTTCTCTGTTCTCCCAATTTTCAAGGAGCTCAATGGTATCTCAGCCAATCCCACAGAGCCCTCCACGGTCTACACGCACGGGCTCCTGGCAGAGCCCATGGTGGGAAACAGTTACTCACAAGCCTGACGACATTGGGCTTAAATCCTGTGCTGTTGCTGCCACTTACTAACTGTGTAATTCTCTGGCCCTCACTCTCATGATATATTAAATAGGGGTGACCTGCCTTCCAGGGTTGCTATAAGAATTCAATGAGGAAATACGTAAAGGGCCCACGCATGCAGAGTAGACACCCAGAGAATTAGTTCCTTTTTCCTGTAAGGCATCAACTTCAGAACACAGGCCTGAAACCAAACTCAGACCAATCACCTTCTTGACATTGTACACTTGGTAGGTTCTGTTTCTATCCTGAAAGAGATAATTCCTTCTTTGTAAATTTCCTTTCAAATGGGCCAGAATGACACTTCTCAAATTTCCTACAATGTAGTGCTTTGCTTACATTATCAGGAAAAGGAATATTATTGAAAACAAAAACACTTCCACTTAGAGCAACTTCTTCATCTATTTACTAAGAAAAGATTATTGTAGAATAGATTTTTATGCTTTGGCAGTCTATAGCCAAGTTCTCTAGAAATGTCAACATTCTGTTTACAGTGGTCAAATTTCAGCCTAAGAATGAAATCTGTTCCTGCTTCTCTTTCTCACATTCTGGAAGCACGATCCTCCCCCACCCCACCCCCAAACACACACACACACACACACACACACACACACACACACACACACACACCCGGCAGCATCAGCACCACCTGGGAGCTTTGGAGACATCCAAACCCTCAGGCCAACTGAGCCAGAAACATCATTGGTGGGGCCCAAGTGGTCCTAATGTGAGCTTAGTTCCAGAACCACTGCTCTATCACCTTTCTACTCCGAGGAGCGGTCTTCTCTTTCAGTGCTACACTGAAAGCACCCTTCCAGTCCCCTCAAGGTCAGGGCTAGGAGCAAGTCCTGGATGGAGCACAGACATACTGGGACCACCAGGGACATGCCATTAGCAGATAGAAGTATTTGAACTGAAAGTAACTGGTAACCTAGGATGTGCACAGACATCACCTTCCATGTGGCCCTATAGCTTCCCCAAGCATCATTTTCATGGCTGAGGCTAAACTCCTCCAAGCTTGTGATGGGCCGAGAGCCTGGGGAAGAACCTGAAGGAGCCAGGATTTTGATCTGGGTGAGGGAAGTTGGTTCATTTGGGGCTTTGGGCTCTGGCATCACCTGCTCCCATCCCTCTTCTTGCCCTCTCACCTTCCTCGGGGCAACAGCAGCGGGTGGGGCAGCAGGGGCAGCGGATGTGGCAGCAGCAATACTGAGGACAGCACTGGCACCAGCACACGCCAAGCAGCAGCAGCAGGAGGAGAGCTCCCAGAACGATGAAGATCACGGTCAGCCAGTCTGTAGGGGAGAAGCCAAGTAGGGGCTGAACTACGAGTCCACAGGCAGGGGGAGGCTTCCAGCAATAACAGTCTGGAAGTGGGTGATACTACCCCGAGGAGGTGCTGGAATGATCCAAGGGTGCTCTAAAAGCAGAGACCTATACTTTATCTTGGATTATGAGCTATCGTACCACAGTTTTTAATCACCAATAGACTGCTGATTTTTTTTTTCCTGGAAAGGGTACAGTAGGCCAAATCAGTTTGAGACCCTATGTTCTAGAGGCTCAGTCAATTCTACTCCCGAACTACAGGTTAAGATTGAGCAGTGTGCAAGAGTTTGGTTTTGATAAAAGAGGTTCTGAGGTTGGCAATCCAATAACCAGCACCTGAATTTGCTTGTTTCTGCTGTCGGTGCAAGTGTCGCGGTGACCAGAGAAAAAAACGCCAGCAGCACTTACGCAGGACGATGAGTTTCACCTCCTTATCTGGGTCACCTGAGGTGTCCCCAGGTGCCTCAATCGTGCAATAGTATACGCCATGGTCCCACCACATCACTTCGTTAATCACGAGATCTGCGCCTGCGCATGAGAGAGGGAGAATGTGCTCACGGTCAGAGCAGAGGGCACGGGGTTCTGACTCAGCTGCCAACCTGGTCCTTCCCCATCCTAAAAGGGCCCTCGCTAGTTCAGAGAATGGTCTTGAGTGTGACTCTTTCCTCGGAGACTCTCCCCTTTCTGCCAACAGCATAATGACGGTAGAATTGATCATGATTTTGGATTCATTGCCTCATATAATTCTCACTACAGTTCTCAAGTGAGTGGGGTCAGTCAATTGCTAGGTGTCCATTCTCCCCTCCTCCCATGGTCATAGAATTATGGTCACGCCCACCCCCATCCAGAACACAGCTACTCCTGACTTCTGATGGGGCTCTTTGCCAGGATCTCTATTGTCAATTGGTTCAACCTTAGGTGAATATCTCCATTTTTATTGCCTTTTACTATCAGAATCCTTATAAAATGGATATTCATTTGTCTCTAGCCACCAGAAATGTTACATTGAAGCTTACAATTTAATGCTGCTGTATATTAATGATACTATAAACAAAACAAAGCTCACTGCCAGCAAGTCAACAATAGCAGCCCAAAAGGACAGAGCAGAACTGCCTTTGTGAGTTCGAGACTGGAACGCTTTATGGGAGTAGAAAAAAAGCCCCATTTTTCTTCTATATTAATGATAAGATGTGCCAAACAACAACAACAAAACAGACACTCATAGTGAAGTTTCTCATGACTCAAATATGATGCAAGTCTGAGACTTCCTGTAAGCAACTATTTCCGATCCTGTATCATGGACATGGACACGTCACTCTCCTTGGATCAATGGGATATCATCAGCAGCATATGATGGCACCCAGGAATTTTCTAGAAACCAGTCTTTGAAAACTATTGCTCTTTTTTCGTCATTTCTTCATCTACTCTGCTATGTGGATGGCTGTCATCTCGGATGTCAGGAGGAAGATGACATCCATGGTGACCTGGCAGGAGCCTAGGTTTCTCAGGACTACTGGAACAGAACCACTGCACTAGATCTGGACCCTAAATTTATGTATGCAAGAGAAATAAAATTCTTTATTGCTTAAACCATTGATATGTTGAGCTTTTACTTACTTGTAGCCAAACTTAATTCTAACAGATACAGGAGAAATGGCTAGTCGCCTCATTTACAGACCAGAAACAAGTGTTCAATGATCGTATACTTGGGCTTAATAACACAGATAATAGTAGCAGAGTGTGGTAGTTAAATAATCTGGTGTCAATTTGGGACTTGAGAGGATTAAGAGTGAAGGGGTGGAGTCCAGTCTGTCAATTGGATCATAGCCAATGAGACCTCTGTGTGGGCATGGCCTTCTCCTGAGAATTCTGGGAAATCCGGTTTTTCCTCCTTGGAGGCAGGAGAGACTCTACTCACCCCCTTGGAGATGCTCTACTGATAAGACACATTGGGAGACGCTCTACTGAGAAGACGCATGGCACAACACTGATAGACCCCATGCCCTGGGAACTGGAGAAGTCATGTGGAGACCCCTGCCAGTGCTGAGATGCTTACAATGCCACTGGATCCAAAGACTTTCTACCCACTGGCCTGTGATCGTCCTGTATTCAGCATCATTGCATGTGTTTCATGAGTCTGAAGAGGACTTTATAGATTGGTATCAGACATATGAGCTAATATCAGACTTATTGGCTTGGATGTTTTCTTAATGTACAATTACCCTTTATATAAAACTCTATCTTGTATACCTGTGAGTGTCTATGAATTTGTTTCTCTAGTCTACCCAGACTAACACGCAGAGATAGGTTAAAAACCATGTCTTCCTACCTCAAGGCTGGTGTCCCTAACCACAAAGAGGCTCAATAAACACCTCAAAAAAGTTCATGGCAAGATTCCATTATCTTTTCATTCAAAATTTCCACAAATGTTTTAAAGTTCCCCTCATACAACTCTTGACCTATGGGTTAAATTTAGCTTTGTCCTCTTCATACTGGGTAGGAAACTCCTCAAGCCGAATCCCTTACCAGCCTAAAAGGAGAAGATGCTTTGGACCTCGAAGAGTGAGATGCCAGTATTCTGAGAGTGAGTGCTGACCTAGGACACTTGAGCACCAAGTGCTGGCAACCCTGTTAAGATAAGTGAATGACAGCAGATATGTTCAAGTTTAGCATATTCCTCAAAGGCTTCCTAAGACCTGCTGTGAGCTCGGCTTATGTCACGCACCGCGGTAGATTTGGCGAGAACAAGACCCTGCCATAACCAGAAATGGTTCAAAACCTGTCCGGGTGCAGAGGCAGTTACCATATCTCCAAGTGATAGCTGCCTGTGCCATTGCCTACGAAGTGCAAGGGAACAGCTTTGAACTTTTTAAGACTTGCTCCTGCTCAGTTAGGGGTTACATCTGCACTTCTTCATTATCTGCTTGTTAGGGAGTGTGGCAGTTATATAATTTCACGTCAACGTGATAAATACGTGTAGGGGTGGAATCTAGCCTGTCCATCAGGTCACAGCCTCCTTGTGGATGTGGCCTTCTCAGGAGGATCCTGGGAACATCCCCCCTCTCTCTGACTTCCTCTTCCTGTTGACAAGCCACATGAGAGACTCTCCTGCTTCACCTTCCTGCTGAGGAGTTACACGGAGCGCTGGAGGAGTCATGTGGAGACCCGCCAGTGCTGAGCTGCTTCCACCACCATTGGATCCACAAGGCCTTTCACCCATCAGCCTGTATTCTTCCTGCGTTAGGCATCCTCGCGATCAGCTACTCATGTCTGAAAAGGACTGCATGGACTAGTACCAGACGTGTGGGCTAATAATATTGGACTTCAGGACTTGATCTGGACTGGGCCGGATGTTTTCTTAATATACAATCACTCTTCAATATAAAGCTCTTTCTTATACACATATAGAATGACCCTGGATTTGTTTCTCTAGTCAACCCCGTCTATCACAAAGAGGAAATGAAACAAAAATGTGAGGTCACGCAACCTTGGAGCAAACTTCGACTTCCGTTTCCTTCTCCTTCTACGTCAGTCCCTACATTATTTGTTCTGCCCACTCTTTTCCAGATCCACTATTTTTCCAAGAAAAAACTTTCCCAGACTTGAAAGAACAGTGAAAGTACTTTGGGGGTACCACCCTCTTAAAATATTAGTGTGCAGTGTAAGTCTGCTCTACATTTTATTGGAGACATCAGGATTATTTTAGGGGTGCAAGGGTTAGGGAGGTGTGTGTTCTTATTTTAAATGATCCAAGGGCTGATTTGGCAGGGCCATCTCAAATGATGAAAACATGGCAGACCAGGGCTTCACGAAGCCTGGAGGCAGAAATATAAACCAAGGGCACAGATACTGATTTCCTGTGGGGACCAGAGAAAGGGAAGGTGGGGTTCAATGGTTGTTAGGATTGAAGGTAGTAGATGGTCCCACTAAAATTTAGAAAAGAGAGAGATGGGGACTATCGCCAATGAACACGCTATTCTTCAGAACCTAGAAGGGAGACCTGCTTCATTAAAGACACTAAACTTTGGGAGCAGATTAGAGTTTATCCTGCCAGCTCTGGAGAAAATGCCATCAACCTGAACCCTTGATGAGGGGCACATGTTTGCGGGCTGGCTTGGGGAAATCAGAGGGTGAGGGTAAAACAATTCGAATTGAACTTTAGAGCCAGGTTGGAAGCAAGGTGGCAAGCTCGTTTCCTTCAAACTGTTCCTACTTTGGAGCAGCCACAGATAATGACTGATTTCCTCATATTGACGTGACAGATGCCGCAGGTGGCTTGATGGGCATATTCTCTTCCCTTCCCACCCCTGATTTGACCAGCAAATACTTGCCCCGGTATATCTGGTAGATTCTGAATTCTATGCCAATAAGCCATGGCAGACATCCTGGAATACAAGCGAGAAGCATGGTGCGCCCAGCCCTTCAGCTAAACGTATATGGCGTGAGCATAACTAACACGTACGGTACATTTCGTGCTTTGTACACATCATCTCACTGAATCATCCCATCATCCCATGAAGTCTACTACTGCAAGTTCCATTTTATAAAAACTGAGGCTTAAAGTGACATGCCCACGTCCACACAGCCAGTAATACAGAAGGGAGACCCAAGTCTGACTCCCAAACCAGGTCACCAATCAATCCCTGTGACACCAGGCATTCAGAAGGGATACGCTTTAGTCACCGCTTCCAAACATCCTATTTCATATTCACTCCAGAGTGGAGACAGGAACCGTTGTGCCTATCTTAGGAAACTGAGGTCAAAGAAAACGTCTCTGCTACTGGTCACTGAGCTGGCGAGCGGGAACACAGGGGCTTTAACCAATTCCAATGTCTTTCCTTTAGCGACGGTGAGAATGGACTGGAGGTGGCCATCCTGAAAAGCCCTCTATCCTTGGATAAGGGCAATAGGAGTGACCAGAGGGAACTCAAAGGATCTGGGGTTTGAGCGGGCCCTGAGAGCTGTCAGAGAAGGAACCTGAGGGGACTGATCCCCATCTTCACCTTGCCTCTCAGGGGAGCACATTGCAGTTGGAAACCACCCACTCTGACTTTCAGCCAAGATTGTAGTGCATCTCCTGGTCCACGCACCCCACTTGTGGGGGAGTACCTTCAGCTGGCACAGCATGCTTCATGAATCTGGCGCTTGGCTCAAAGAATGACCGGGATCAAGCAAGACCGTTGGCTTCGGGCAGCAGGAAAAAAGGGAAATCCCCAAGCTGATTCAGTCCGCCAGGCCTGCCTGCTGTCTGCCGCTCCACCGCACCTCCAATTCCCCTGCTGCCTCCCCGGCACTCACGGTTCTGGATGGTGATCTTGCGCTGCCTGTAATCCACCCCCAGCACAGGCTCATTCTGGCCTCGGCGCTGGGCCACGATGCGGACCTCGCGCTGGTTGTCATTGCAGTCATTGGATGGGTCCTGGCCCAAGGACAAAGCTGCCTGGTATGCTGAGGAGAGAGGACACACGGCAATGGGGAACTCCCTGAGGAAAGGCACTCGTCTTGCTGCCCGGAGCAAGGGAACGTCTCAGCTTTGACTGAACCTACAAATAACCTGGGGACCTTGCCAAATAGCCAGATTCCGATCGGTAGGTTTCAAGAGGGAGTCAAGAGGCTGCATTTGTTCAGTTCCCAGGTCATGCCAGGTGCGGGGAACACCCTTTGAGTGGCAAAACTTCAGACCCCAACCCTGTCCCAAAGGCCAGTATTTTCAAATCCTAGCTGGCTCCTGTTTCTCCTTCTGATTCCCGTTGCTTGTTTTTTGAGTTACCCCAGCCTCAGCCCCCACGGAGTCCAACCATTTGCTCTCACCACACAAGGGGTGAAAGCGGTTGGATCTGCCAGCGACAGATGAACCCAGAACTCCCAGGAAGCAATGCCTCCATGAAAGAGGGAACCTGTGGGGACCAGGCAGGTCCAGTGGGTGGCTAAGACAATCAGCTTCTTACCCTGGGACCTTAACCCCAGATCCCCAAAAGGTAAAGCTGATGCCTCCCCCTTCCTTTCCCGCATCTCATGATGCCCATTCTCTTCTTATGGCAGGGTGCCTTCTTTTTTTTCCCCCTTGAAATTTCTAAAAGGTTAATTATCTTCAGGTGAACTATGGGGATCTGGCGTCCTTTCTCCTTTGAAAGAGAACAGAGGGAAGACCATGGGCTCCATAGGGCAGAGGTGAGGTGAGTTGGGCCCTCATGGCTGAGGGGTGGGACTTTGCTACAGGCAAAGGACTCTAAGAAGTGCCCACATGTGCTGCCAGTGAGTAATCCATCCCAGAAAGAATTGAGTTGGAAGAGGATGACCATGCAGCCCAAAAGCTGTTTGTAGAGGGGAGCTAGCCCTAGGCTGGCACCAGTGACCGCTACGTTCCTGTGTATCCCGAGGAGCATCTCCCCTCGAGTTTCTGAGACTGGAAGACTTTCTCTCTAGGAGAAGCTGACTGCCAACCTCACAGTTAGCAGCCCAGGGCTTGGCTCTTTCTGAGCAGTGCAGTCTATTTTTGTTGCTTTTCTAAGTGATGAGGGAGATGGGTCGGCCTCAGCATGTTAATGTAGAACCAGGAATGGACCAGGACACTGGACTTGTTTTGCTTTCTCCTGTCTCAGCTACCTTAACACATTCCAGAACAAGGAGGGATAGACATGGAAAAACAAATATAATGGTATGATATATGACCTCAAACAAGTAATTTCATCTTCAAGGGGCTTAGTTGACCTGTAAAATGAGGGAACTGCATTAGGCGATCTTTATGGATTCACTTTAAGCATTTGCAATCCCGATGAACTCCTAATCCCGGAAGCGCTGAGCAGTTCCTGGAGGAGGAGTCTACAACCCAGTGAGAAGTGGGGCCAGGGGACTCACACGCAGAGTAGTAGTCAAAGATGGGGTCCTTGCAGAAGGACTTGAAGCGCCATGTCACCACCACGTCCTGGAGCTGAGCAGAGGTGGTGTAATCACATTTGAGGACAACCGAGGCAAACAGGGTGACATAACGTTCTGTGTGCTGGACCGTCACCAACAAGGACAGGCAGCCTGAAACCAAGAGCCGGGGGACAATGCTGAAAGTCAGATCAGGTCTCTGAGCAGTGACCTACTTCTGGTGCATGGGATAATGAAAGCAATGCAAATGAGCGAAACACAATGCGGGCAGCTCGCAGGCAGAGCTGGGGTTCTCACTGCCTGGCCTGGCTGGGCTGCGGTGGGGATTGTGCCAGCTCTCCTGTGCCACACAAAAACAAAAGACCAAATGACAATACATACCGGAAAAAGAAAAAAAAAGACCAAGGGCCTCTTTCAAGAGCTTACAATTCACTGACAGTGATAACACATTTAACACTTCAAAATATTTTTTAAATGTAAAATAAAGCCATATTGCATGGAGAAACCTTTCTAAGTATTTCTTCTTCATTTCTTTGCTAAAAAAGGTTTTCTCTAAGGACACAGTTCAAATCTCGCCATCAAGTTTAAGAGGCTGGGCATCTGTCTCCCACCTTTCTCTCCTGACTCATCTTCCTTCATGCCCTTCCCCTTACACTCAGGGCTCACTTCTGTCCTTCCTGTGCTGGTCTGTCTTCTCTGGTCTTTACATAGGTGTATTTGTCAGCCGGGACGTTCTTCCATATCACTGGCCACCAGTTCTACTCCTGTGATGATGATTTTATAAGTCAACTTTGCTGTTCGGTGAAACACTGGTCTGGATGTTCTTGTTGAATGGTTAACATTTATAATCAGTTGACTCTATGTAAAGTAGATTACCCTAATCCAATGAGTTGAAGGCCTTATGAACAAAAGCCAAGGCTTTCTGGAGAAGAAATGGTGCCTCAAGCATGAAGTACAGATTTCCTGCTGGTGTTTCCAGGCTGCCAGCCTACCCCAGGGACTTCGGACTCAATATCAACTCTTGTCTAAGTTTCTAGCCTGTGGGCCCATCCCACAAACTTCGCACTTGCCGAATTTCCATAATCTTGTGAACCAGTTCTTTGAAACTCTGTTTTTCTCCCTTTATTTGCACTGAGGTGGTAAAGATATTCAATGTCTTTGGTGGTTAACCAAGAGGCTGGAGGTTCAAGCCCTTCCAGAGGTGCCTTGAAGGAAAAGGACCCGGCAACCACTTCTAAAATCTCAGAGCCACTGTAAACCCTCTGAGGCACGATCGACTTGGACCTCAGGGTCACCATGAGCTAGAACTGACTAGATGCCACCCTGTTTGTTCATTCTGCCTTTCTGTGTCTCTGGAGGACCCTGACTAATACAACTTCCTTTATTGGACCAATCCGTTTTCATCAGATCCTCAGCTTAAACCTCACCTCCCTCAACCAGCCTTCTCTGGTTCTGTCAGTCCAGGAGAGGGGCCTCAGCTCTGTATTCCCAAAGTGTCTTGGCTCATGTCCAAGTAGCGCTTTTCACACTCCTCAGCGAAGACCTCTGCACTATGGACTCTCAGAAGGCTGACTGGGTTTGTCTCTTTTACCGCACTGGTCAAACACCAGCGCTTTGTATGGTTCTTTGTCACCCGTTTGGAACTCAACAAACGCTGGTAGCATAAGTGGCCGAAGGAATGATCAAGAATATATCAGTCAGTGGAAAGTAACTATAGGCCACTTAAGCCACCATATAGTCACTTAAGTCAAGATAAGCACAGAGCAAATCGAACAAAAATGATCAGACTGTGACAAAATTTTTATCAAGAAAGACCTGAAGGAATTCAGGGGGCTTCTTGTTTCTTTTAAAGAAACTCCCTCTCCCTACCCTCCAAACCTACAGCCACAGGTTACCTTGATGAGAAACCAGAAGGTGCAGAAATATCAGGTGGGCCTTTGCATGGTCAGGGGTTCACACGTAACCGGTGCCTCACTGGAATGCTTCGGTGTTAGGATGGTTCTAGGTTGAGTTATTAGGGGGACTTTTCATGGGAAGGTGTGGTATAGAGTGGTAGTACTCAAATTTGAGTGTGCGTCAGAATCACCAAGAGGGCTTGCCACGCTCAGGTTGCTGAGCCCCATCACCAGTTTCTGATTCAGTAAGGCTTGAGTGGCATCCAAGACCTTGTATCTCTAGTAAATTTCCAGCCGAGGCTGATCTACCAGTCTGGGAACTATATTTTGAGAACCACAGATGAAAAAAAACAAAACACAAAAGCACAGGCTTTGATCAGATACAACTGGGTTCAAATCAAACTTTACTATGGACTTGGACATTGGATGAGTTATTTAATCTCTTTGAACTTCTTTGTCCTCAGCTATAAACAGGTTTAATCATGGTGCTAACCTCATCAGGTTGTTGAAAGAATTCAATGAGGCAATTCACTTACAGTGCTCAACATGGTACTGGCACATAGAGCTCTACATTAGTGTTTGCATCTCTCTCCTTCCACTCCTGGATGACGAGGGCCAGGAGAAAGAGGTTCCGAAGAGGGTCTCCTCAACAGCATTCTTAAGGGGAGAGAGCTGCATTTTGATGGCGTTACTTCACACCAGGGGTGTTGCAAATGGTTAATCCGCTCAGCCACTGACCAAAAGGTTGGAGATTTGAGTCCATCCAGAGGCTCCTTGGAAGAAAGGCGTGCTGATCTACTTCCAGCCTATGGAACACAGTTCTACTCTAACATGCATGGGGTTTCACCTCCCACAAATAGAATCATTACAGTTATTCCCTAGAGGTCTTCATGACCAGAGATAATGGCTCTGAGTCCTGCTTCAGCTCTGGCCACAGCCAGCACCTCGCAGTGCTCAGAGGCCTGTGGTGGGCACCTGCATCCCTTTGTCTCACCTCCCATGGAGAGAGAGCAAAGGGTTTCTCAGGGCAGGCTCTGTCTGGACCCCAGCTAGGAGCCCAGCCATCTTCAGGGCTCTGATGACTGTGGTGCTGGAAAGAAGCTCCCAGAATGCAGAGGGAGCCTTCACAACGCAAGAGGCTTCACCTAGATCCCAAAGCTCAGGCAGGAGTCACATTACACATTAGCAAGGTGAAGGGAGCAGGGGGCGAATTATTTCAAAGAGGAGAAAGCAGTGAGCAATGGCCCTCATCAGAGGGGTAGCTACTTGGAGGACCGGTGGGGGAGCTGGCTTTATGGGAGACAGAGGGCATGAGAGAGTGAGGGCTGAGCGTGGCGAGGAGAAGTTGGGGTCGAGTGGAAATCCTCTCCAGCGTCTATTTCTCATTCATGGAAAATCACTGAAGGCTTTTCTGAAGAAGAATAACTGGGTGAAAGTGATGTTTTCAGGAAGAGAGTTGACTTCCTTATTCAACACTGATTGGAAAAAGAACGTCATTTTGAGAGGCAGCATTAGGTACTTGGGAGGTGGGGACAGAAGAGCTACTGTCTCTACCAGCTCCAAGGTTCCAGGAAATCAGGCTTAGCAGCCATCAGGCCAGCCCCTGACTCAGAGACCCAATGTGTTATGGAGTAGAATGGCTCCACAAGGCTGGAATCCTTATGGAAGCAGATGACTGGGTCTTTCTTCCGCAGAGCCAATGGGTGGATCTGAACCACCCACCTTTCTGTTAGCAGTTGATGGCACACTGCACACACCACTCAGGCTCTTTGTTCTGTAACCTGCTTTTTCTTTCTTGCCCTCACCCCACATGCTGCCTTTGCTCCCGGCCACCACTCCCAGAACTGACTTGAAATAAGCCTTGGGGCTTTTGCTCACCATGTCTTCATCTGAGCAATAGACACAGCTGTAGTCATGACTTTGACAATGAGAGAATGTCACTTGGCAACACTGGCGTATTGGTCCAGTAACACGTACAGATTGGATGAGTGAGGAAAACACTTGTCTGTGGATTCAACAAAATCTTAGGTTCACATAACCCTGTGATAGGACTTTAATGATGCATGACATATGATCTCTGGGAAAAGACTAGCTGTGCCCAAGTCTGTGCGTGGGAAAGTTAAGGGCCTGGTCTGTGGCTGCCCATTTCTAAGGGGGTCAGAGTCGAGATGCTGGCCCTTGGCAGTGCTCTCGCTACTCTCCCTGGCCAACCTTGAAGAATGGATGACACTTGCTAGGCACATGGGAGCTTGGGGCCCTGCCACCACATGAACAATAATTAAAATACCACCAACTGAAGTTACTCAGACACCATGATTACTAACCTGAATATGCTTCATTTGGATGGACGGCAATTCAGCATAAATAGCAGGTTATTAAAAGGACTGTCACCCTGGTGGTATACTGGTTATGTGTTGGGCTATGATCCACATGGTCAGTAGTTCAAAACCGCCAGCAGCTCCAAGGAAAAAGACTGGACTTTCTATTCCCTTAAACAGTTACAGTCTTGGAAACGCACAGGGGGTCACTATGAGTCAGCATCAACTAGATGACAATGGGTTTGGTGTTTTGGTACTGGTATCGAGGTGGGGAGTTTGGGAGGGAGGGCATGTGCTAGGGATCAGATAAGGGAATTTGATTGAAGCCAGAAGTTGTTCTGTGATAGCTTTGAAGAGGGCGAAATCTGACACTGAGAGAGGGAATGAGGACATGGTGATCACCTTCATTCCCAAACACCAGCCGGCTCTCTTACATGAAAAACCTTATTATTGGGCAAACCACACCCAGGTGACACAACTCACTTTTAGCAACATCAGAGCTCGCTGGGCTGCCAGGTCCTCTTTTTTCCCTCTTTGATTTCACCTCTTAAGTGAATTTCAAGCCATGGAATCTGTCAGCCAGGCTCTACACATTCTGACTATGTTGAGCTCACTCACGGTACTCCCAGGTGCCTGCCAAGTTCACAGAATCCTACAGAGGCACCAGAACTCACCCCCTGCTCTCCAGACACACAGGGGGTATGAGAAAGGGTCCCGGGAGCACAGGTACTGAGCTGTCCACCAAACGTGGCCCCCTTCTTCTTAGTTTTAGCTGCTGACTCCCAGCATCCACAGTGGAGTCCTGGTGGCACTGTGGATTAAACATTAGACTGGTAACCACAGTGTCTTCGCTCAAAACCCACTAGCCACTTGAGGAGGAGGATGAGACTCTTCCTGTAAAGATTTACACTCTTGAAAACTTTTATGGGGTCAACATGAG